GCCTGCAAGTCGACTCTAGAGGATCCCACATATATATATATGTGTGTGTGTGTGTGTGTGTGTGTGTATATTTATATGTATATATATAATTGCATAGGAGTATATGTGAGTATATACATAAATATATGTGTGTGTGTGTTTGTGCGTATATATATATATATGTATCAATGTATGTATATATATATATATATATATATATATATATATACCTAAGAGGATTTATTTAGGACCGGACCCGAGGACCGGGCCTAAGAGGATTTAATCGAGGGCCGGACCAAGGGACCGGACCAAATAGTAGAATATATCATTTAATGCGAGAGAATGATGACTCATCGGACGTCATCATTATCCAGTAACTAGGAGACCATAATCTTAGATGCGGATATTTTCACAATCTGCCGTTGTTAGAGAAAATCTCGTCCCACATAGCAACGTGATTAATAAATATAGCAGACGCGCCGTTAGCAACGGCACTTATGACTGAGTCCACTTATTTCAGACTTAACACTCTTTACTAATCTCGACTCGGTTTTGACTACATTTTTAAGTGACCGAACTACTGTATATATTATACTACGTTCTTTAAAGGCCAAAGCAACTAAGAAGCAACTTAGTTTATTTGTTTATTTTTACCACAATGACAGGGCCCAATACTAAACTGTTACCTAAGATGGGTAAGCAAGCTTGTGACCGGCTGCTGAAACGGTTGCTTGGAGCACTTCGCCGTTTGTCCTTAATAACACTTAACTACGATGACACATGTGCAGGGGGGCACGGAAGTTATCCATCTCATTCGTGAGCAATTCAGCCAACTTCGTGAACTCTCGATTGCGGATATTGATACGGCTACACCCCAGGACTCGGTCCAGACAACATCGGATGCTGATTTTTTACCCAAGATCTCGGCCCGGACACCATCGGATGCTGTTTCTTCTGAGTCTCAGGTCGCACCAACATTGGAATAACATTGGGCTCCTCAATACTCGAAAAAGACATGGACGACTCCAACTGGCCAGTTACCTAACAACGGGGTTGACAATATGAAGCAGATCAGCCCGGTGAAACGAAAAATTGGCCGCACGAAGCCCGCGGGTGTTGAAGAATGTTCAAAATTGAGCACAAACTATTACGACCCCTGATGAGATGCCGACTGATTTTTGTGAGTTCGAATCGAACTTAGGAATCGAAAACTACGGTGAAGTCGCTTGGTAGAATCTTTTTGGAGCTAGCGGATTTGCACTTGGACACGGACACTCCTCGGAATCTATCGTTATTGACAAAGAATTTTTTGATACCTTCCGCAGAGTGATAAAATCTCCGCGGCAACAGATGAACCAGGGTCAAGTTGGCAGCGAACCTATTTCATAATAAGTTGCAACATCACCATCGCCCACGATCACCAGAAGAGCTAGCCTATTGATACAATTGCATATCGAAAACACGTTTCCGTTCATCACGACCGCTACTTACAAGACCCACAGGCGGTGAAACGCTATAAACGTCAATACCTACGGAGCCTAGCATCAATGCATCGACAGCAGCCAAGATGATGGTGCAAAATAATTTTTATCTGACTTAGCGAATGATGCATGCAGAGGCAGAAGGACGCATAGACGATGCACGTGTGCTGCAGTGTTTGATTTGAGCTTCGAATGTGACTCTGAAAACGAGCTCAGTAACGGTCGACGAACGAACACCGAAGGAATGGCCGCCTCACCCACAGGGCAACTATTAATTGAATAACCCGCAGAAGATACAATTGCATACTTTTATCTTAGACTGGCATAAGACAAGAATGCACGATTACATAAGCTAGAACCGATTCATATGCAAATGGGTTTACACCGAGCTCTACAGCAAGAAGGGGATCTCAAGGCTGTAGAAATACGGCCTCCGGTCAGTCTAAAATATCAAGATCAAATGAGATAATACATTGGTTTTTATTTGTATTTTAAATAATTTAA